CCAAAGGGACGTTACATTGTTTTTTTTTTCTTGAAGGGCTTCCGTCCAGGGTAGCCAGGCATGTCCTCCTTTTCCAGGACCTGTCCTCAATTTCGGTCTTCTTTCCAGGAGAAATTCCAAAGTGCCCTCCGTTTGGAGCCTGACTAAAAAGCATGGTTTTATATTTATATATTAGTGTTTCGAGCTTCTTATTCGGCCATGTCCTGCATTTTTTTTTCCTTGAAGGATCTGCATCCAGGGTGACTAGGAACGTCCTCCTTTTCCAGGACATGTCCTCCCTTTTAGTATTCTTTAGTCCAGGAGGGATTCCAATATCTCTTCCATTCTGAGCATGACTGAGAAGCATGGATTTATATTTGTAGGCAACCTTTCCCCTTTAAGGGCCGAGGGACTTCAGCTCCCAGAATCCCAGGAGCTATTGGCCAACATGGCTGAGGCTTCTGGGAGCTGAAGTAAGTCCCTCGGCCCTTAAAGGGGAAAGGTTGCCTACCCCTGGTCTAGGAGGAACTCCAAAAGGTCCTCCATTTTGAGCCTGACTGAGAAGCATGGCGTGAGTGGCTCTTGAGGAAGGGAGGGAGTCCTGGATCTGTCGCTGTTTTCTCACCCCTGAGCGTCGTCTGACAGGTGCTGCAATGAGGAAGACGCGTGTATGAATGGGTTGTGTGAACTGTTCTTCATGGGAATGCCTACCCCTTGCATTAATGAAAGCCTGTAGGGAAGTGCCCCGTTGCCAGGGTGACCAGATGTCTGTCCTAACTGCAAAGGAGGACAAGGCACCAAAAATGTGGGGGTTTCGAGGAAAATGGAGCGCATGACCAAACAAAAGCTAAAAACACTCCTAGAAATGTAAATACATGCTTCTTAGGGCCTGTACAGACTGCCAGGAATAATGCAGCTTGAGACCACTTTAACTCTCCTGGCTCAGTGCTAGGGAATCATAGGAATTGTAGGGTTTTGTTTTTTTTTTCTGAGACATTTGAGCCTTCTCTATCAGAGAGTTCTAGTGCCACAATAAACTACAGATCCCATGATTCCCTAGCACTGAGCCAGGACAGTTAAAGTGGTCTCAAGCTGCATTATTTCTGGCAGTCTGTACAGGCCCTTAAGTCAGTTTCCAAATGGTGGACATTAAAGAAAAATGGAGGACATGACCAAAACAATCATAGAAATTTAATTTCATGCTTTGTAGTCATACTCAAAATGGAGGACATTTTGGAATTCTTCCTGAACAGAAAGTTGAAGGTAGGACATGTCCTGGAAAAGGTGGACCTCTAGTCACCCTAGGCATAGGCCTAGCACTTCCTCCTCAGATCCTGACAGATGGGTGATGGAGGGAAGAATGTGTTTGAAGAGCATTAAAAAGAAGACTTTTGAGTTCGAGGGTGCATCTACACATTGTTGTTGTTGTTATTATTTTTAATTGCCATGGCTCCATCTTACAGAATCCTGGTATTTGTAGTTTTGTGAGTCACTAGCACTCTTTGGCAGAGAGTAAAGCTACAAATCCCAGGATTCACACAAAATGGCATTAAACGGTATTATTTCTACAGTGTAGATGCACCCTGGAGCTGGAAACCTGCATTTTCTGTGTGAGCAAAGGTGTACATTGGTGAGGCCAAAGCCACCTTGTGAAGGTTTGGACATTGGAGTAGGACACTGGGAGACGAAGATTCAAATCCCATCTGGGCCATGGAAACCCACTGGGTGACCTTGTGCAAGTCTCACACTCTCAGCCTCAGAGGATGGCAATGGCCAACCCCCTCGGAAGAAACCTGCCAAGAAAACACTATGATAGGTTTGGCTTAGAGTCACCATAAGTGAGAAATGACTTGAAGGGACACAACAACAACAAAAAGCCATCTCACACTTTTCCACATGCACAGACACACAGTTACTGTATGTCCCATTCATGCAATGGTGGCTCATTGTATACACACACCTGACACCTGCATCTTTTCAGTCCTATTCGTATCCCTCTCATCTACCTTTCAGTGATCCCACACATTATCTCTTATGCATTCATTCTATATTTACTTATTCATGTGTTTAATTTATTTAGGGTTGCCAAAGAGAAAACTGGAGATGGTGCCAGTATTTCTAAAGGCTGCATAGTAGAAAAAAAGTCAGCAGATGGTGCTGGTTACCTGGTTGTGTGACAAGCAACACCTGCTCAAATTCCCTGCTCTAAAAAGCCACGGTATAGATGCTGTGGGCAACCTAATATTCTGCCTTCTAGCACAGGACACACAGATACATTTCCTTCTTTCTTTCCTTGTCCAAACACACACCTTTCCTTCTTTCTTTCCTTGTCCAAACTTACTGTCACACTAAGGAGGTGTGCAAGGGGAAGCTTAGCTTTTATTTCCCAAGTTGAACCCTCTTCTGCATTATGCTTTCCCTATGCATAGTAATTGGGTTTGGCAAGAAATAATTCCTTTTATGTAGCTGGGGTCTTTCCTAGAAGTCAAATTCGGGGTGGTGGGGGACAGGGTTAAAGGAGACTGTGGACCAGATCCAAAAATAGAGTGAGCAGACGTTGGAGGTAATTTGTGGTGTACAGTGGGCCCTCAGTATCTGCTGGGGTTTGGTTCCAGAACCCCCATGGATACCAAAACCCATGGATGCTCAAGTCCTATTAAATACAGTAGCATAATAAATGGTGTCCCTTGTATAAAATAGTGAAATCAAGGTTTGCTTTTTGGAATTTATACTTTTGGGGAATATTTTCAAGCCACGGATGCTTGAATCTGTGGCTAAAGAATCCATGGATACAGAGGGCTGACTGTAATATGTTTGTAGACTGGCAGGCTGGCATAGATCTTCCTCTGAGGTTTGATTGAGGAAAGCTAGCATGGTGTAGTGTTTTGAGTGTTGGACTATAACTCCGGAGACCAGGGTTTGAATCCCTAGTCAGCCATGAACAGCACAGGGTAACCTTGGGCAAGTCACACTCTCTCAACCTCAAAGGAAGGCAAAAGCAAACGCTCTCTGAACAATTCTTGCTGGGAAACTCCCATGATAGGTTCTCCATAAGCCAGAAATGCTTAAAACGAGAATAATAGCTGTTTAATAGTGAAGGCCTGAGCCTTTCCTTTTTGTTTTATTGTTGTCAAAAATATTGATTATTGTAAACTAATAATAATAATAATAATAATCAGGACCTTCCAACAGATATATGAGAGGCAAATAATTGGGACAAAAGCTTAATTATGTCTTTGTGGGAGGAATTCATCCAGTCATTGCTAAACAATATGGTGCAGTACTGTGTGTTTGTGTGTGTGTGTGAGAGAGAGAGAGAGACTGTGGGGCTGAACAGACTGCACGCCGCAGCCCTGATCTGGTGCTTTGCCACTTTAAAAAGAGCCACCAAAATGCCACTCCTTTTTAGAGTGGCAAAAAGCCGCCTTGCCACCCCAATGCTGCCATCAAGCCACCCACCCGACCAGATGGCGGTGGTGGCGGCTTTTTGGCATTTCTTTGGTGGAGCACATCTAAATGCTGTGCCAAAGACACACCCTTTCACTGCCTGCCTTCTGGTCAGGTGGGTAGCTTGATGGCAGCATCATGATGAAGTCGGGGCTGCCAACGTGCGGTCACCATGCCCCCACTCCATCTCCAGTGCCGGTCTGTTCAGCCCCTGTCTGAATCATGGATCTTATAATTTATCCTGAATACTTTTCCTTCACACAGAAAATGGTCCACAGCTCTATGAATGCCCAATGTGTCAGCTTGTTTGTACAGATTATCCAGTCCTGCAGGAACATGTTGAACTCCACTTGGAGGAATGCAGCTTTTTAGAAGGTAAATAGAAGGATTAGAAAAAGAAAATATTTCCACCCCCCCTACTGGTTAAAATGCTTGGTAAGATTGACAACATGTTGGACCCTATATGCTTTCTCACCTTTCCCCCCGTAGTGCCAAGCAAAGGGAAACTCTTTGATTAGAACTTCATATGTCATGTTACATGTTATGAAATATAGAAACAGTTTCTCAACTATCAGATTATATTCTGTAATTTTGGACAAGGCTTTGGAGTAGGAATAAGGAGTAAAGGAGTAAGAGGCTTTTACAGGAGTAGGAGTAACATTAAGAAAAAATATCTTACTCTAGCATAGAACAAGGAGTAACCAAAAAATCACCACTATTCCCCAGCCCTACTTTTGGACCTGTATTCTGTATTGATTCACAGCCTCCTCTAACCACCTCCCTGCCAAATTTGACTTCTAGGAAGGATGCCAGCTGCAAAAAAAGGGTATTTCTTCCCAAACCCAATTACTACACATAGGGGAAGCATAATGTGGAAGGGATTTCAGCTTGGAAAATAAAGGCCTCGCCTTTCCTTGCACTTGCTGAGAATCCTCCCCATCCCTCCTTAGTGTGACAGTTAGTTTGGGGAGGAAAAGAAAGAAGAAAATTAATTACAGTTTCCGAACGAATAGCCAAATGTGGCAAAAAAAAAAAAAAAAAAAGGTCTGGTATCCCTTTAAAATATAACATGGTTCCCAAACTTTCATCATCTAGGTGTTTTGGACTTCACCTTATGGAAAGCTTAGCCAGCTTGGCCAGCAGTCAGGAATTCTGGGACCTGAAGTCCAAAACATTTGGAGAACCAATGTTTGGGAACGCATTTAGCAAGTACCCAGGAGTGAAAGCCTGAACATCCCGAGATGGGTTGCTCTTCTGTCTTGCCTTGTTAGGCTGGAATAGTACAGACATTTGAGGAATGACCTCTAGTGAGAGCAACCCCTGGTAAGGCCAGCCTTCATTCCTGTTCCATGCCCCCAAAGGCCATGTTTTTCTCTTGCTCTTCTTTTCTTCACAAGATCACTTACAGCAGCAGCTATAAAAGCAACAACAACATACACAACAAGAAGGCTCTCTACTTTCATCCTATTCCCCAGGCTTATCCCCCAAGTGGGAATTTTCTTTCACCTGGAGAAACCGTTTTAACCACTATGGTTAAGCCCTGTTTCTCATGAGCCAAGGAAGGTAGTCCAGGCATGTCTGGGGCCTTGCCATTTTAAGATAAGAGCTAGTGGGGGAATCAGTGCAGGGCTAGCAGATGAAATCCCTCTTTGCATTGCCAATGACCAGCCTGTTAGGAGGCCAGCGACAAAGTTTAGGATCAGGCAGCAGCAGTAGCAGCCCTGCTGCCAATGCCACAGAGACCCAAGGGAAGGAAACTGCCCAGGCATGGTGTGGAACTGAAGTCCCATCCATCAGCTCAGGGCACAAAGGCAGCAGGCTGAAGCCATGTTTCACTTGTGAAAGAAGAATTAGATATGTACCCATAGCCTTCATGTTGGATCAGGGGCAGCTGAGCCCCTCTCCCCATTTGGTACTTTGGAGACCTTAGCAAGGCAACAGTGGGAAGGGTGAGTGAGACTGGGACTCCAGGCTTTCAGTCCTACTCCCCATAGCAGGGGTAGGCAACCTTTCCCCTTTAAGGGCCGAGGGACTTCAGCTCCCAGAATCCCAGGAGCTATTGGCCAACATGGCTGAGGCTTCTGGGAGCTGAAGTCCCTCGGCCCTTAAAGGGAAAAGGTTGCCTACCCCTGCCCCATAGAGTATAATCCTAGCCTTTACCTAGGGCTGCCACACATACCTTCTCATGAGTAACTACAGCAACTGCACCTCCCTACTCAGGAGGAGCTGCAATTCATAAGCCTGCCTGCTCAAGAGTAGTTCTTACTTGTGAGTAGTTGTGATTTCTAAGCCTCACAGCCAGTAGCTGGGGCTGGCATGCATCCCTACTCATGAGCATCCACAGCTTTCCTACTGATGAAAGCAGCCTCCACACAGTCTTATTCAGGAACAGGTTTTCAGCTGCCTCGGAGAAGCTACTGCTGTTACCTTGGTCGGCAAGTGGGGCAAGGGGAGAATCAATCCCTGGCAGCAGATGGGGGAAGACTCAGACTCAGAAGAAGTGCTTGTTAACCCCCACCCTCGCCACCCACATAGTATGGGTGGATTCGAATAAGCCTGCCTCCAATAAGCCAGTTCCAGTAGCAGCAACAGTAATAGCAATAGCAAGTACATTTCTATACCGCTTATCAGTGAACTAAGCACTCCCTAAGTGGTTTACAGTGTCAATTGCCTCCAACAAGCTGTGTACTCATTTTAGTGACCTATGGAAGGATGCAAGGCTGAGTGGACCTTGGAGTCCTTGGGATTGAATTTACAACCTTGTGGCTCGCAGTACAGGCATTTAACCACCATGCCACCAGGGCTCCCTGGTGCAGGGTTAGGGGGCAAACAGAATACTGATTGTACAGTATTCCAGTTTCTCCAGGGATTCTCCAGACTTCAGGTTACTGTTAGGAAAGAAGTGGACTGATTTCCAATTGGCAAGGGGATCATACCAAAGAATTTTCAAAATAAAATCAGCCTGTGCTTTATAGATTATAGCAAAGCTTTTGATTGCATAGATCATGACAAACTATGAATTGCTGTTAAAGAAATGGGTGTGCCACAATATTTGATTGTCCTGTACTCATGAACAAGAGGCTATCATCTGAACAGAGTATGGAGAAACGGAATGGTTTCCAATTTGGGGGTGGGGTCAGGGAAGTCCACATTTTACCACCCAATGTGTTTAGTTTGTATGCTGAACATATCATACATAAAGAAGAATTAGACTCAGAAGAAGGAGGCATGACAATTGGAGAAAGAAATATCAATAATTTAAGATATGCAGGTGACACCATACTACCAGCAAAAAATAATGTACATTTAGATTGAAGAAAGTGCAAAGGGAGGTTTACAGTTGAACATTAAGATAACAAAAACAATGACCATAGATTTAGATAACTTTAACGTAGATAATGAAGACATTGAAATAGTTTCAAGATTTTCCATACCTTGGCTCAGTCATTAATCAGAATGGAGACTGTACTAAAAAAACCAGAAGGCTAGGATTTGTAAGGGCACTTATGAAGGAGCTAGACAAGATCTTCAAGTTTAAGTTTAGTATCATTGAATACCAAAGTCAGGATTGTACATGCCACTATATTTCCAATTTCTATGCATGATTATGAAAGCTCAACAGTGAAAAAAGGTGATAGGAAGAAAATCAGGTAATTTGAAATATGCTGGAGAAGAGTTCTACATATACCATGGATAAATTGGTCCTGCTCTTATGACTGGTACCAGTCCTAATCCCTCTCTCTTTTTCAGTACTAAGACATAGGCCACACTTCTTGCTCTGAAAGTTCAGGTTTTTTAATGAAGGAAATCTTCCCTCCTTCTGCTCCTGCCCAGTCTGATTCATAGGGCTTACATACATTTGGGTATCTGAGAAAATCATTTCAAAACATGGCAACAGTCCAAGATGCCACCCATGGTACAATCTAAGGATGAATTAACATCAGTTTGTAAGGGGACCAGCCTCGTCCCTTTCAAGACTGGTAGAATAGGCTGCCAGCTCTCTGATCTGGAATGCAAGAAGTCTCACAGCTTATTTCCCAGGAGACAGTCAGCTCCCCCGACCCCTTGCTTCAAAGCAAAGGTTTTACTACAGGTTGAGTCTTCCTTTTTCAGGATTCCAAAATATTCCAAAATCCAAAATTATCCACATGTGTGACTGAGATAATGACACCTTTGATTTCTGATAGCTCAGTGTACAGTGTACAGTTTGTTTCATATACAACATTATTTAAAATATAGTGCATAAAATTTATTTATAGTTGTTCTTCTTCAATCTATGTGCATAAAGTATAAACAAAACATAAATGAATTTTCTATTTAGACTTGGGTCCCATCTCCAAGATATCACATTCTGTATATGCAAATATTCCAAAATCCCCCAAACCCAAAACATGTCTGGCCCCAAATATTTCAAATAAGGGAGATTATCTCAGCCAGGATAATCAGATGCACCTAACATTCTCCAAGATGGCAGATTGTATTTTTCATAA